CGCGTGCCGGGCTGCCGTGTTTCAAGGGCCGGCAGGGCGGTGGGGTGGCGGAGCGCAGGGCCTGGGCCAGCAGGGCGATACCAACCCCCTTCCTTCTGCATCCTCCTTGCCCAGCAGCGGCCAGGCCGACAAAAACACCACAGTGTAAATCGGTCGCTTTCGCGCACGCCGCGACCCCTGTACGGTCGTACGTTGTTTGGGGTTCCTGCCGCCTCTCGCCTCCGTATTTTGAGCCGCCGCTCCGCTGGAAATACTCGGTCAGCGCGCGCGCGTGTCGCGGGGAATTCCCACTCGCGACGGCAGGGCAGGCCGGGGCAGGCCGGGGTCGTGTTGCACACGGTCTGTTTACTTGATAACAAAAACAGCGAAGGAAAGAAAAGAAAACGACGGGCTGAGCCGGGCCGAGCCGAAACGAGCCGAGCCGAGCCGAGCCGGGCCGGGCCGGGCCGAGCCGAGCCGAGCCGAGCGGAGCGACGTGTCCTCGGTAGGACAATAAATAAAATGTGAGTGTGTGTGCGCGTCCGGAAAGAAAGAAAAACGCGAATAGGGCGTATACATTTTTAACACCTGGCTGAAGGGGGTGGGGGACGGGTGGAGGGCCGCGACGTCGCGAGAGGGAGGGGAGGGGGAGGGGCGTTTGGCACGCGGGGAAGGACAAGAAGGTTTTGATCATGATCCCCCGTAAGTTCTCCCCAATTACTGGTACAAAGTTCGGAAGCATATAGGGGCTGTGCCGGGCGGGCCCCCTCCCCCGCCCCCTCCCTCCACCGACACGGCAAGGTCAAAGCCAAGGCGTATGGCGCACGGCCGAGATTTCCCTTGATACAAGGACGGGATTTGATGAAAGATGCCCTCTCACTCTCTCCGACGCGGTCCGCCTCCCTTCGCCCGTCTCTCTCCCCGTCCTAATCCCCTGTCTCATTATTTAACTTGTTCTCCGAGGTCCTATTTAAGTGTCCGGAAATGCTGCGCGGCAAGCCTCTCGGTCGCGGCGCGACGAGGCGATGAGAGGGGAGGGGGGGGGAGTTTGACGGTTTTATTCTCATGAATGGGCCGCTGCTTGTCAGTTGAAGCATTGGGGTTAACACGGGGCCCCCGCGATTTATTCGTGTTTTACCGTCCGGGAAGGAAGCCAGCTGGCGTTTCACTTTCGTGTTGCTCGCTGCAGTTTATTTCCTGTTGGCGGCGACTCGCGGCGACGCTCGGAACCTTGTTGTTGTTGTTCGCTGGGATCCGAACAGTGCTGCCACGACGGCAATATCTTGGCCGCACTGTCGGAGAAGTTGTCCCTCTGAGGTTGGCAAGCCTTTCTCGCACTGGCGCGTTGTGGGAATTTTCGCCTTCTGGTGTGGCAGCACTGGATCCGCTGGCCGCCGGCCGCGAGGCCCCCATCGCTGCCCTGCAGCGACCCCCAGAATTAACCAACCAACCCCGGGCGGGCTCACATCTTATCTCCCCATCTAATAAACATTCAAATAAAGTATAAATATGCAGCGTGGCGGAACGCAGCAACACTGCAAATGTCATTATGGCCGGTTTAGAGGCACAAAGACGCTCCGTTGCGGCCGCGCCCCCTGGCCCGCTGCAGCGGCGCGGTGTACTACACTAGCGAAGAGTGTGACCGTTCAACACTCGGGGCCCCCGCGGCCCCTCGGCCGACCCTCGGCCAGCCCTCGGCCCTCCAAGGGAGTGGTCGGATAAGCCAGGGGCCACTCGGGGTCAGCGTCAGCCCTCCAGCCCCCTGGCTGCCTCTGGCCCTTGGAGGGGGGAGGGAAGGGAAGGGAAGGTCACCTTGAGTGCCAGCCGCGGCCAGTGCAGCCAGCAGACTGAGAGTCGTGTTCGTCGCTCTGTCTCTCTCGCACCGATACGGGATGCTCTGTGAGTGCGAGAGAGACCGGACGACTCAGGCTGCAGCACAGCGCGCGCGCGTCCCAAGTTGACCGGAAACCGCTTTGCCGTTTGGCGCCACTCTCGACCTACTTTCCAAACTAGTTTTTTGTGACAATCGCGGCGCGTGCGAACAGTCTCGGTGAACAGACTGACGGCAGCTCGACCACAGCCGGGTTTCGGCCGCACGCACGCTCGTCCAGCCCGAGCGTGATGTGTGTGTGCGTGCGTGTGTGTGCGTGCGTCTGTGTGCGTGCGTCCGTCACTGAGCGTTATCGTCCGTCACCAGTGACCACGCACGCACGGCGAGCAGCTTAGCGTGCCATATGCGCCAGGTTTAAACGGGACAAAATAGTAGATTTACAAAAAATAAAAACATGGAAAAAGTGTTTTGTGGTACGGTTCTCGTAAAACTGTCTCAGTTAAATTTGCCCGTAAATATTTTTACTGTGTATGAGGGGATAATTTGGCTGGCATTAGTGTGCGTGAGCCGGCACGGCCCAGTCTGGAGTTTTACACTTCAACAACCGAAAATCAGTGCGCGAGGAAAAGTCGAGAAAACTCTAAGTGAGCGAGAGTGAGGCAGGAAAATGAGGCTAAGTCGCGTCGTTCGGTTTCGTTTCGCGTGGAGCGGCAGCAACTTTTAATTGAGTGAAGGAAACCTTCATTATGACGGTGTCAGAATTTCCACCTCTGGAAGCGCACGGCACGGCGCGCCGCCCGGTGCCAGGCCGGCCGCCTCGGTGCTGCCTCACGGCCTTCACGGCCTCCACGGCGTGCTCCTCGCTCCCCCACCTCGTTCATTTCATTTTCTCCGCACGGCGCCGGGCCCCTCCGGAAGGAAAGGATGATGTACAGGACTTTTAGTTTCTTCGTGAAATGCAATTATGTCAAGGGGATTGGCTCAGGGCTCACCTAACCTGGCTGATGGAAAGGCGCTGGCGTGCTCCAGGCCCTCTAGCCCCTCCAGGCCGTGCAATCCCAGCCCACGACACTCCAGCCACTCCAGCGGCTCCGGCCACTCCACTGGCATGGCACCGCCGTGGCACCGCCGCCGTGCATACACCCTATCAGAGCCCCACTCCAGCGCCCATCAGCCCGCATTGTGCGGGCCGCGCCGCCTATCCCCGTCACATTTTTTCCTCCAGGAACCTCTAACGCCATCACGGCGTTCTTTGGTACGGCGCGGCGTCTCACCGCCGTCACGGCCTTACAACGCCTTCCACGTGAGCGGCACCGCGCCAAAGCTGTCGTCGTCGGAGTCCGCCGTCAGGTCCGCGTCACTGGGTGATGGATCACTTCCGTCGGGGACCCCGGAGGTGGGCAAAGGGCTCGGAGCGGCGCCCGCGGCGCAAGGGAATTGGCGACCACCTTAACGAGGTGGCCGCGTGGTTTAGCGCACCGGTTTTCCGGGTCGGGGGATGAGGGTTCAAGACACTCGTTGGGAAAACTTTTGCCCAGCTCAGTTCCTAAATTTGCATTTCCTTCATGCAAACATAACCGTAACTGGTAGAATGGCTCGGGGTCCAGGGCGGGGAGGGCCGCGGTGTCCCCAAGGCCGGCGTTTAATCCACGCGTAAATGACAGGAAATCTGTCCCGCCGCTCCACCCGGCCCCACCGCAGCGCGGCCGCCACGCCACGCCCCGCCACGCCCCGCCGCGGGCTGAGACGGTCGTTTGACGCGATGACACTGGAAGCGCCAGGCCGCTAAAAGGGTCATATAACGGCACCTCCAGGGCCCTGCAGGGGGCGCGGCGGCGCGGCGGCGCGGCGGTCGCAGCGCTGCGGGCGCTGTTCGTCGCTTTGGGCGCTTTGGTTTATGGGGTGTGCACTGTGTGCACTGGCGGGCACTGGGTGTGCAGGACTCGTGAGAGTTGGCGCGCGGCAATCAAGCCGAGGTTTTAACGTTTTAACGCGCGTCGGGCGGTAAAGCCCGGTGAACCTCAAGGCTGCCTGGCAGGCTGGCTGGCTGGCTGGCTGACGGAGCGTCGCCGCGGGAACCATCCCAGGCCACGCTGACGAATTCGCTCCCCGATTCGAATTACTGCCAGGCTGCCGATGAGGCGGGCGGTGGGCGCGCGGACCAAGGCCGGGGAGTGCTCCGTCTTCCAGGGCGTCTCGTAAAGTCCACGGTGAAGCCTTTAGTGCCGCCCCCTCGCGGCGGGGCGGGGGCGGCGGGGGGCGGCGGGGCCAGACAGCATCGCCCCCACGGGCACGCCGCCCCCACCCCGCCCCCGCCCCCGCGTCGCAGTGCCGCCAAATAACACAGGAGGTCCGCTGCAGCGCGACGGCCGCCATTATGTGGTCTTATCGGTGGCCGCTGGAAAGTGACCCCGCGGCGAGTGGGGCGTGGAGCACTGCCGGGCCTCGGCCGGGCCGGGCCAGCCTGGAGGGGCGTCTCCGTCACCACGCGACGCCAAGTTGCAGGTCGAGTGTGTGGCTCCCCCGACAGCACCGCATTATCGGCCAATAAATCTGCTTCACACGCTTCACCGCGACGAGGCGTGCCCGCCCCGCCCCGCCCCCCCGCCCCGCCCCGCCCCGCCCCGCCCCGCCCGCCCCCCCAAGGCAAGGACACCGTGCGGAGGCAGGCGACAGGTCCTGAAAGATAAGACGAGCTGGTGGAGGGCGTCTTCCGGGCGGACCGCAGCGAGGGGTGCAAAATAACTATCTCTTCCGGATGTTACTTTTCTCTCCACCATCGCTTCCCTCGAAAAAAAAACGCCAGAACGCCTTTTTTGGGCAGCTTTCTCTCTTTCGGTCAGTCCGGCATCGCCTCGGGCGGATGGTCCAGCCCCTCGGCCTCGGCGTCCTCGCCGGGGCGCGGCGGCGAGCAGACGGGGCACTCGGCGCCGCACGCCGTCCAGCAGTCGCGACACAGGTACAGTGGCGCGTGGAGGGCCTGCTCCTCCTCCTCCTCCTCCTCCTTCTGCTTCTCCGCCCACGTCGTCGCGGCCCCCGCACACGTCACGCCCGGCGTCTCCGCGTCGCGGCGCTTGTCCTCCCCACACACTGCGCATTTTACCCGCGACGGCAACATCCTCTGCAAAGAAAAAGTTTCGAAAAGATTTTGCCTACAGCGAGGGTTTTGAACCCGCAGCTCTCCGTTTACCAAAAACGTCCGATGCGCGCTCGGCCACCAGTACGCCAGGACGTCCCCCAGGATGTTGGCCAGGCCGTGGCGGCGCTCCAGGCGGCCCTGCTTGGCCAGCACCCGCACGCGCGCCCGCATGAACCGCGCCATGCCCCAGCGCCGCTTCAGGGTGTCGTTGTAGAGGCGCAGCACGCGCCGCCGCTCGCGCTCCGGGTAGAAGTACGCGCAGACGGCGCGGTGCAGGCGGCCCAGCCCCGCGCGGAACACCAGCAGCAGCCACAGCGCCAGGTACACCAGCAGCACGCGCACCCACAGCCACCTGCGTCGGGTCAACCACGTTCGAGTGCACCGCCGCGCCTACACTTAAAAAAAATTCTCTGTTGAAATTGTTCTTGCCAGTGCAGGCGTTTCGGCCTGGGCAAGCAGGGCTGGTTGGAGTGGCGCACGTTGACGGCCTGGTGCACGTTGAACTCGGAGATGATCTTCCGCACCAGCTGCGCGATCATGCCCGAGCCCTTGACCCGAACGGACAGCGAGTGCTGCCCGATCTGCTGGTAGTCTATCCGGCCGTGGCGCCGTATCTGGAACGCGAGAAGATGGATCGGGCGCGAGTTGAACCCGCGGCCCGGGCGAAACAAAAAGAGAAGTTCCACCGTGATTCGCGGTTGTGGCGCGACCTCCGCACCATGGACAGCAGGCCGTAGAGCAGCTCGTCCAGCAGGAAGACGGCGAGCGGCACCAGGATCTCCAGGAGCAGCGCCAGCGACTGCAGCGCCAGCGAGCCCCTCTCCTTGGCGCCCGGCCACACCCCGACAGCCTGCGCAGCCACAGCCACATAGAACAGTGTGGCTCCGCTCCATATCCCCACAAGAGAGAGCGAGAGACAGAGCGGCGGTAATGCAGTGCGAGGGAGATGCCGTCCATCCCGGCCCACGGCAGGCCGACGGCGAGCCGACGGCCTGACAAAGAGGCCCGCGGATGGCGCCAATAACTCCGCACACGGTCCGTCCTTGCGATTTGTCCCCGCGCCGCCGTGCCGCCGTGCCTGCTCGGCATGCATGCAGGAAGCGGGGCGGTATAAATCGCACACGTGTCGCGGGAAAGTTGCCCGGGAATGGAGAGGGAGTGAGAGAGACAGAGAGACGGAGCACCTGCCGGCCGGACACGCTACCTCCACCAGCTGCAGGCGCTCGGCGCGCCGCAGCGGCAGCAGGTGCTTGGCGCCGCGCTGCCGCCGCCGGGCGTCGATGCGCCGGAAGTGCTCGGTCACGTAGCGGTTGTCGAAGTTGAGGTCGGCGCGGTAGCGGTCGTGGTAGCGCTGCGCCTCCAGCAGGATGCCTGGGGGCCGCCACGCCGCCGATCAAATAACCATTCGGTCTATTCCCGTGTTGTTCCAGGTTCTCAGCGTAATGAAGACTGACCCACGACCATGAACGAGAGGACCTGCCGCACCGGCGACATGAACGTGTCCAGGATGGCCTTGGAGCGGGCCACGTCGTGCGCCATGGCCAGCGCCACGTCGTCGGCGCCGTGCACGTCCACCATGGGGGCGATGGTCACCACCTGGGGAACGCTCCAGGTAGACGTCGACGACGACGGCCAGACGCGGCAGAGTCGTCGACGCGCACCTCGTACTGGAGGCGGACGTTCATGCCGGACTCGAGCGCGCCGGACGCGTTCTGCATGGAGGCGTAGTCGGCCCCGAACTCGGGCTGCACCACGGTGGACGGGTCGCAGGAAGACGCGCCGCCGATCGACTTGCAACAGTGGGGCAGGGCAAACCCCTTTCAAGGTGGAGGCAACGCGTGTAGAGTTTTGGCCTCCGGCACCGATTTGATGGTTCACTGTGCGCAGAAACTTTGCCCCCTCACCGACACCATGCTGCAGATGAAGGTGAGCTTCATGGGCCAGCACAGCAGCCAGGCGGCCAGGAAGGTGACCTTGTCGTAGCAGTTGTCGTAGGCCTTCTGGAAGGTCCGGCGGCAGCGGTCCGCCGCCTTGGTCAGCAGCCCCTGGCACCGGTACTCCAGGCGGCGGCGGTACTGGCGGTCGTACCGCGCCGCCGCGCTCTCTGTCGGCGAGGCCGTGTACTTCTTCTCGATGTCCTCGCTCCGCTTCGTGTCCCCCACCTGGGAATAGGAAAAAGCAGCGATCGCGTCTCGAGACTGCTTTGCGCAAGGCTTTGCCACAGGCGCGGTGCTGGCGCCGTGGCTGCGCTGGCTGACTCTCCGGAGGGAGGCGCCCGCCGAGTCGGGGGTAGGCCGCACGCCGCGCAGGAGCGCCGTCACGCTGCCTACGCGCTCTTAAGTCTCAAGACTCAAGGCAGTTGAAAAACGATAAAGTTTTCGAGCGGCACCCGACCCGGCCAGGGATGCCAACCTGCGCGTCGAAGTAGTCGTTCTCCTCGCGCAGCTTCTCCGTCTCGTCGTCGCGGCCTTGGACCTCCTGCTTGAGGGGCGCCGCCACCTCGCGCACCTCGGTGGAGATGCTGCGCAGTTCGGCCCGGTTCGTCCGCAGCCTGGTCAGGGCCTTTTGGAGCGGCCTGTACAGCAGGTCCCAGCGCGTCCGCGTCAGGTTGGCGGCCAGGCGGGCCCCGCATGCGAACACCTTGCCCACCTGGAGCACGTCCGCGACGCCGTGAGTTCAAGTACCGGCACCGCTTTTCGCTTTGTTTACCTTTTTGTGGGCTTTGTTTTTGTAAAGGGTACGCGAGCTTGGTTGCCGATTGAACCTCAAGGCAACTGCTGAAACCAGCGCGGCCGCCACACCGCGGGCCAAACCGCGAGCACAGCGGCCACCTGGCAGTCCCGGATCAAAGCCCTCGAAAGCACTTCAAAGCCTTGTGCGCCACGCCGCGCCACGCCGCGCCACACCGCGAACCTGACGCAGACTGCAGCGGGGGCCGCGTCCGGGGTGGCGGCGCGGTGTCGCTCGCTCCCGCCCGGAAGGCCGTCTCCCCGGAGGCCGCCGCAGACGCAGCCCGCGCGTGAATGGGTGCAGTCGCAGTGCAGTGGCGGTGCAGTGGCGCTCGCGAAGCCGCACAAAAGAGCTTCGAGAATCCATCGGCGGCGGCCACTCGGCCGGGGCGACCGCAGCGCCGCAGCGCCAGGATCAATCGTCGAGCCGACGCACCTGGATGGCGTTGTCCGTGAGGTTGGCGACGGGGCCCGCCACCAGGAACGCGATGACGAGCACCCGCAGCGTGGTCCTGCCGCCCCGCGAGCACAGCGCGGGCAGCGCCAGCAGGGTGATGCACCGCACCTGGCGCCAGGTAGCCGTCAAGGAGTCAGGACGCCGTCGGGGCCCTCTCGGTGCACGCCAAGGGGGTACCTGGGTGGACACGGCGTTCCCCGCGGCCAGCAGCAGCACGATGGTGGCGCCGAGGATGACGCCGACGTGGCCGCCGATGACGAGGTCCCGGAGCAGCAGCCGCAGCAGCAGGAAGCCGAGCAGGAAGCCCCAGAGGAAGCCGGCGGCCGCGCGGAGGCAGCGGTACTCCCCCCGGGGCGCGAGCAGCAGCCGCGCCAGCAGCCAGGACGCGCACCGCGGCACGCAACCCTCCGCGAACAACACCAACGCCTCGGCCCAGTTCACCATCTGCAAAGTCGGTCCACGTCCACGTGTTTTGGGCTCGCTGTGGGCCGCCGCTGGGTCCCAACCCCACACTCCCTAAGCACACCTGGTCTTAAGCCCAACCCCTTTCGTACCACGCCTCGGCTATTAGATTAGCAACAGGTGTTTGAGATCAGTAGTGGCGACGCAAAGATGGTCTAAGTGTGGACGGACGTCGTGTTTGGGCTGTCATTAATTCTTTTTATCTTTTCGCTCCTTTTTATTTTCCCCCGTGGCATAGATGGTGAATGATGATCACTTAGGAGAGAGATGCGAGTGCTCATTGTGGGTCCACTCCACCATCACCCCGTCACCATGACGACGCGGAGGGCAGCGCGGCTGGGCCAGGCCGTAGGGCCTCCACCGTATGTACCCAGATCAAGATGCAGGCAGCGCCGCGCCCCGCGTTTGCCATTTGCTATTTCATGGACACGTCCCACCTGCCCCTCACGTGTTGCAGAACTGGAACGGAGTCCGCCGATCTTGCTCCGAGCGTTCGGCTCGGGGGAGTTGAGGTGGGATGGGGCTGGGGCAGCGGCGACCCGATGGCTATGGCCGCTATGGCTGGGCTTGGGGCTTGGGGCGGTGGGAGGGGGAAGTGCTAAGGATTGTTGAGCTGCCTGACGGCTGGACTGGCGGACTGGCACGACTGGCATTCAGCATGCAGCAGCATTCAGCTGCGCGGCGCGGCGCCTGGCATCGCACATCGCATCGAATCGTCTGCACTTAAGTGCTGGCATGCTGCACTTTGAGTGCCAGGTCATTTTGACTAGAGCGGAGTGTGGGAAAGAGAGAACTCAAAGTGTCGCTTCAAAAAATTTATTGCGTCATTGGCTTAAAACAATGGTCACTGTACAGATATTTACACTGCCTATAATATACAGAAGCTGCAACATGCAACTGCACTTCGGATACATACAAAGGAAAAGAAACAAGGCTTGAAGCATAATAAAATTTGTCCTGTATTAGTTGGAAAATCCTGTAAGTGAGGTGCACAGGCTTTGTTTTCAACTGTCCCAATTGCTACTTCAAACTAACAACACTGATTTAGAGATTCACATCAGGGTAAGACCAATATCAAATTTAATTCAAAACTAAAACGTTGAGGCAGCTGAAAGATAAAAACAGCTGCAAATAACAATAATATTCTAACACTTTGAATCGATGTTAGGCATTAAGTCAATAGATTCGTTCTTGTAACGCAATAAGGCTAACCACCACAAAGGAGGTTCCCATAAAGAAAATACGGCTGCCTACAATCAGCAAAATTTAATTGGGGCTACACAAAGGCTTTCACAAAGCTAGCAATTCATGGCAGCTGTCAGAAAAAAACCTATTAATCATTAAACATACCAAAGGCATATGTTAATTAAATATGACTTTCTTGGGAAAAGCAAACACATCATGCTTCACAAGTTCGGTTTGTCCAGTCCTCCCACCTATGAAGTATTGAGACAACAGCATATGTTTGATAACAGAAGGATGTTTTACATCTAGAGGTTGGTAGAGGGGCTGATTCATTGCTTGCACAGTAACTGTACAAGATTATTAGAATATATAGGAATGACACACATTATGACATTGGTAGAGTCAAACTATAAACAAAACTATAATTTATTTTAGATAAGTAGTTGCATATCCACATGGAGATTGAGATCCACAAGAGATGATCAATTGCTTTCATTCCCAGATGACTTGGCAGAAGAATGGCCCGATTTCCTGTGGAGGACAAATGCAGTTAAAGATTTTGCATGGTCATGATTTCATAAAGATGTGCGATAGAGAGGTGATGGTTCTATTCCTGATGCTAACCTGCTTCCGCTGTCAGATTTCCGTTTCTCACTTCCTGAGTCTGAACCTGACCCAGAGCCCGAACCTGAACCTGAACCTGATCCTGACTTCCTTCTATCTTTTCCAGACTCTGAATCCGAACCAGATCTCCTTTTGCTTCTGTCAGATTCGGAGCCAGATCTCCTTTTGCTTCTGTCAGAATCAGAGCCTGATCCTCTTTTGCCTCTGTCAGAATCAGAACCAGATCTATGTTTGCCTCTATCAGAATCTGAACCTGACTTCTTTTTATCATTTCCAGAGTCAGAGTCTGACTCACTAGTTGAAATGGTTGCTTTGGAGATGATGCGCATTTTCTGGGCTTTGGACATTCCTTCATCACTTGGTCTGCTCTTGCGTGGTCCCTTCTCCTTCTAAATAAAAGAAACAAAATGAGTACATTCCAAAGAACACTGAGGATAGCTCATGATGACTGGAAGAAATTAAACCAAAACTAACCGTTTTACGGAATCTCTTTTTCTTTGGCCGGTCACTTCCGGACCCATCATCATTCTTTGTTCTTCGTCCAGCCGAGCGCTTCTTCTTTTCCCTAAGAATTATTTTCTAAAATTAATATATTTTTCAAAGTTTGACTTGCAAGAAGGAGAAAAATATTATCTTTACTTACTTAGGCTTTCTTTCCCTAGGTTCAGATGGGCCAGCATCATCAGAGCCAGACTCTGACAAAATTTCCCCATCTTGTCCACCCTTGCGACCACGGCCTTTCTTCGGTTTCATTTCAGGTGGCAGCTCAGCGAACGTCAGAGCATTCTTAGTCTTTTCCTTGTACTCCGCACGACGTGCCAGCAGCTCCTCAGTTTCTTGTCGTCTCCTTTCTTCCATTAATTTCTGGAAGACAACAAGAAGCAAAATAATAAAGAGCAAATAAGATAAAGTTCAACAAAAAAAAAAAAAATTACTTTGATATATACACACCATTTCCTTCTTCTGCTTCAGTCTAAATGCAACCCTTTCTTCTTCCTGTTTCTTCCTCATCTTCTTCTCCTCTTCATCCACTCTGCGAGCACGAGCCACATGGTATTGTGCCTGGGAAAGTAGATCCTGACATTGTCGTGCTTCGGCGCCAGCCAAGTTTATATCATATCTCATACGGTCACCATTCACAGAGAGGTGCTCAAAGTACCTAATAAAAGAGAAAAGTCAAATCATTAAAGAAAGTTCTTTTCAAATGTTAACAGCACTGTCATTAAGACCAAACGTACTTCAACGAAAGTCCCAAATCGGTTACAGCTTGAAGTACAGTGTTCAGAGTTGATTTTTCATCTTTCAAGATCTGTGTGGCAAGCCTCTGAAGAACAAGAGCAATGTTGTACAAAACCACCGTGTCTAGTGGGGCAACACGACGGGCCTTCAACAGTACTGTGCGAGCTTCTCGCAGTTTGCCAGCTTTGAAATAGGCGCGAGCCAGATATTGCAGAACTTCTACATTGTGATACTTGTAAAATTTACGAAGGCAATTTTCATACTGCAACAAAAGAAATCAATAAATACAACAAATGGGCGACAAAAAATAATGAAAGCACGACTTGGGTGAGATACATACCATTTGAATAGCATTTATGTACTGCTTTTGCTCTACATATATGTGAGCAATGTTAAGCCACACGTCACAAAAATCAGCAGTAGCCTCACGGACCTGGGCAAATATGTCGCGAGCCTCATTAACACATCCTTTGTGAGCGAGAACAGCTCCAATTCCATTTGTAGCCCAGATATTCCTGGGGTCTATTCTTAAAACCCCTTTATAAATCTGCAAGGCTCTGTCTTGGTGACGCCTTTCACGTTCTTTCTCTTTAGTGGGCTGATGAAGTGTTTGCAGCCAAACATTACCCAGAGCAATATGTGAGTATGTGTCGTTAGCAGTTGCAGGATTCTGAAAAACAAATTTTTTATAACTTTTCTCCCAATTTAAAGGTAAGATGTAAATTAAAGGGATGGCATAAAATCTCACGTTTAGGATTCTCTCAAACTTCTTTTGACCAGGCTGCCACTCCATTTTGGCCAAATGAAGGTTTCCAAGGAGTGACCAAGCGTCAGGATGCTCAGTGTTGATACGAAGGGCATCCTTAAACCAATCTGAAGCTTCATAAATCTGTCCTTTGTCTCTTGCCATACACCCCAGTCTGAGGTAACCTGAAAGCATTTGAATCAAGTCAGCAATGAAACAATTTAATACTTTATGAGGTTTTAGAATGAAACAAAGATACATACAGTCAATGTAGTTGGGATGTTCTTTTAAAATATCTTTGTACAATCTCTCTGCCTGATTAAATTGACAGAGTGCTTCATGTAATCTGGCTAAGTTATAAGTGGTGGTGACAGCGATGGAATTGTAATACTGTGGGTCATGCTCTGCTTCAGCTCTGGACCTGACTAAAGACTCTTCAAAGCTCTTCTTGGAGTCCTCCAAATTGCCCAACCTACAATATCAAAAGTACGGTAAATCAATTGTCTGTGACAATGAGAGAAATATGAGAAGAAGACGAAACATTTACCTATAGTGCAAAGAGCCCACATTATTCAAAATTTCTGGAGGAATTTCAACTTGAACTTTGTCCTTCAAAATACGGGTTGTTGTATGATATGCTTGTAAGGCACTAGGAAGGTCAGTTTGCTCAAGAATCTGAGCCAGTTCTATCCACGCTTCAACATCATCGGGAAATTGTTCAGTAACCTTCCTCAGATGACCTTTAGCTATATCTCGTTTAGTTTGGCTACTAGAATTGGCATACAATGACCCAAGAATCTTCATAGTTTCATAATTTGTTGGTTGAACTTTAAGTACTTTTTCTAGACACTGTGCAGCCTAAGGAGTTAAAAATAAGTAAATTAATAAAAATACAAGTGTTAATACAAGACAAAAGAAAAAATAGTCTTAAATTTTCTTACATTTTCTGTATCTCCTCTGTAAATATACATCTGGCCCAAGCCAAAATGAGGTAAAACAAAATGGGCTGGAGCGAACTGAGTGGCTTGATAATAATACTGGAAAGCTTGATCATAATCGCCTTGTACATGGAGAGCACGGGCTAACTGGTAACAGCTCTCAGCTCTCATCGGTTCATTTTCAGTATTATTGATAGCATGAAGAGCTAGTTGTCTAACTGTAGAATATTCCTAGAGAAAAAAAAAAGTTGTATCAAAGGAACTTCCAAGCTTTTTGTAACACAGTAATAGGTAATAAGTTTAACACACAGATCATACCTTCTTGAAGAAGAAATGGTTGGCAAGATGATTAAGAGTCATTGCATTAGTAGAATCAATCCGGTATGCTTTAGACAACATTTCCACACCTTCTTTGATACACATATGCTCTTGAATATTCAGTTTCAGGACAGCTAGGCCAACTAGAGCCCCAACACATTGAGGGTCTAATTGTAAGGCACGTTCAAATGCAAGCCTGGGAACAGACAACAGTGAATAAGAGAAAAACAGATAAAAACAGTTTTGGGAAAGACTTATGGAGAAGCCATACAGAATCCAACAATGTTTGAGACACATATTTTTACCTGGCCTTTTCTTGGTTGCCAAGTTTCATGAAACAATGGCCCATACCAAGGCGCACAGCACCTGGGCAATTTGGGTTAGTTCGCAGGGCTTTCTTGTAAAAAGCCAAAGCCGCTCTGTAGTCTTTCTTGTTATAAGCTATGCAAGCTTTGCCAAGTAGTGAGGGGATATTATTAGGAGACTGGTTCAAAACAAAATTGAACTGGTTCTCAGCTTGGTCCATTTTGTCTCCCTCCAACAAACGGCAATAAGCTCTTCCCAACATGTGATTCTAGGAACAGAGAAGCAATTGTTAAAAATGATTCAAAGTATAAACAAATTAAAGGAACAATTAAAAATGTTGTCAATTTTCATAAGAGGGGCTATGAATACACACCTGGTCGTACATGATGATTTTATCAGCAGTGTTGTACAGGAGATTGGCTTTGTCAAATAGTTTGTCCCTCCTTTCTTTGATACGCTCTTGATTGGCAAGCTGCACATAATACGCAGCAAGCATGTCAAGGGCTCGCATTTGATCCCTTTCATAATCTTGATAGTCTCTATTTGCATCTTGATGGGAACGCTCCAAAATCTTAACAAAGTCTTCAGTCTTATTTTGTTTGTAATACTCCAGCTGCGAGGAGAAACATGGGATGCAAAAATGGTGAAATCATTTTAAAATAATAATAATACAGTTAAAGGATAATGCAGATAAAGTCTTACCGCAACATTGACCCATAAGTGAAGCTGCACTTGCTCTTGACACAAGATGGAGATGACATCTTCGGCTTCTGGCAATTGGTCGACTTTGAGTTCAACTACCTACAAAATGACACCACAACGAGTTATCAATCACAAAATTTGTGAAATTTCAAAACAGAAATTTCTTCAAATGAACAATGCAAGTATTTCAACTGAGTTTAAACAAGGCTTAAAGAATGAAAGAGACAGACAGTACTTGTTCATTCAACAGACATTTTGGCAAATGCATAAGATCATGACTTTGTGATAGGCATAGGATAAGACGGAATACCTAACAAGATCAAACATGGATCTCGCTTCATTTAAAACAAAGTTTCAACCAAAATAAACAACAACTATCATTTATTTGATAAGAAAAAACACCATACGAAAGGTAAAGCGGCATCCATACAATATGTCAAAACGGTAGATATTTCATTAACACAAAGCAGTTTGGGATTAGAAACAGCTAGTTACGCACCTCATCAGTTTCCCTGAGCGGGATTTCGATTGAGCCAGACATTTTGGCACTTTAATGCCAGAATTCAAACATCAAAATAACACTAGAAAAACATCGCCGACGTCTATCGTGAGGTTAGACGGCAACAACGGGCAACAAAACGGAGCTGTAGCTATCCCATCGGCCACCCGGGCGAAACCAGACCGGCGAGACGAAACTCACGGGAGAGATTACTAGTTCATGCAAAATAAACTTCTCATACTAGCAGACAGCGCTCCGGAGCTCACTCACAATTCATTGTAAACATCAACAAGGTGTACTCTCGGATTATAATGACTCTTTTCTCATCACCTTTTTTTAGAACGCTGACTAAAGTTCCATACAGTCGTAAAAACCTGGCTTATGAAAGGGTAGGTTAATGGAATTTAAGATGGAAACATAGAAAGGGCTGCATCCGGAAGAGCGAGTTCGGATGTAGCCTCCATTGGTAGGATTTTGTGATGAAAAATCTTTGCTGCGCCTGTATCGTTCTTTCGGTCCTTGCTGGCGTGGTTCCTTGTTTGCAAGTTTTTGCCAATAAATTAATTGATAATTCTCGTGGTGAAAATGACACCTCCCCCTGGATCTGCTACTATCAGTCCGGCGGACTTAGACCGCATGAAAAAGCGTGCCTTTGAGTCCGAACAGCTGCTTTCTTCTCTGAAAGCTGAGGTAGGATTAGGTTAAGTCGCCCACCTAATGTTTTCCCTCATATTATTTCATCAGTCTGAGGTTCTGGCATTTTATGAAAACAATTATAGTTTTTACTTACTCAGAGAATCTACCCTTTTTTTGATAGAAGGAAACCTACAATGTCAGTCACATTAATTGCTTGTAAATTTATGTTTCAGCTTGAAGAGTTGACATCTCTTTTTATCGAAAAGCGGAACCGCGATCTGACTGTTAGATTGACCCACGAAAATGCTGTTCTTAGACGTCAGGTTGATGAGCAAAAAGGTCTGTTGACGAAGTTGGAAGTGCGAAACAACATTCCACAGGTTGGTCTTGTTTGTGTTAATTCTTGTCAGCAGATACCACTGTGTGATACTAAATGTTGTGTTTTATGTTTTCTTTTCGCAGATACCAAGACCCCCATTCCCTCGTGCTGCAGGTGCTAGTATGTGTACATCCGCCTCTGCACCGATTAAAGGTATATAACTTCTTCAAATATAGACTGTCACTTAATCTGCTTTTGTTCATTTTTAATTTACCTGTTTCAGCTGAAGCCGTTGAAGCCACTGAAGCTAAACCTGCAAAAGCAACCAAGAAAGAGAAAAAGGAACAGCCCAAGAAAGCATCTGGGGATGCGAATCAAGCCAAGGAAGAAGCTCCTGTTGATGTGAGCCGTCTTGATTTCCGAGTTGGTCGCATTATTACTGCCAAAAAGCATCCCGATGCTGATTCATTGTATGTTGAAGAAGTTGATGTTGGAGAAGAGCAGCCTCGGACCGTGGTAAGATTCTTTACCCTGACATTATCAATCGATGAAATATAAGAGAGAGAGAGCTAATTTTGACCCACCACCTTTTCTTTTATCTGTTTTCTGCAGGTCAGTGGTTTAGTGAAATTTGTTCCAATTGAACAGATGCAAAATCGAATGGCAGTCCTGCTATGCAATCTCAAGCCAGCTAAGATGAGGGGAGTCACCTCTCAAGCCATGGTGATGTGTGCTAGCACACCAGAGAAAGTTGAAATTCTTAACCCTCCTGCTGGGGCGTTACCTGGAGACCATGTAAGTACAGTTATAATGCCCATTCCCCCCCCCCCCAAAAAAAAAAAAAAAAAAAAAAATGTTAAAAAAATGTTGAAGTCAGTTAATTTTCAAAAGCTACTACAAAATGAGTGTAAGCCCATCCTAATTATGTCTGCTTGGATTTTAATTTCAGGTTCATGTAGAAGGATACCCAAGGAACCCGGACTCTGTTTTGAACCCTAAACACAAAATTTTTGAGACTGTTGCACCTGATCTAAAGACTGACGGAAACAAAGTTGCCACCTATAAAGGAGTAGCACTTCAAGTACCTGGTAAAGGCAATGTGACGGCACCATCCCTTACTGGAGTGCAAGTCAAGTAACCTTTAGGAAGTGATGAATGTTAATATTAAATTGATGTTATCTTAAGATGTACATCCTCTTATGCGGTAATAAATGTAAGGTAACCAAATGACAACAAAGTAACATTTTATTTGACTTGGCAGACTTGTACTAAACCAACACCGATGCTCCTAGCAATGACACACTTTCCAATGTAAAGATATTTATGTTCTTGGTAGTGCGAATATTAATTTCAGTGCCAGCACTGGCAAAAATAGACACACATTTTGTAAATGTACAGAACATAAAAATACCAACACTTTCTCTTCCAGACCTCCCTCTGCATTGCAGATACAATTTATAATCAATATTGAATGAAGATATAATGAAGGTCAGAAGTTCTTTTGTTGGAAATGTTATGATTTTATTTAACAGTGTTGCTTAAATAGTCATCTCAGCAGAGTCTAATTAAGGTGAAGTGGAGACATCACAAATGTCAGAACCCACCTAGTAAACTAAAACTCCAATTAGCAACTCAAATTGCAGCCCGACCTGCCTCCTCAGACGTCACACAGCGTCCAAAAATTTTCTTGATGCGAGAAAAGACTTGGTCAGCTGGCATAGCAGCATCCAGTCTGTAGTGGATGCCTGGAAAGGGAACACAGTTAGCAAATTCAGAAAATGAGATAAAAACAATTACTAGTATTGAAAGCTGTTATACCTTGTCGCTTGTAGTACTCGACAAGAGGCTTCGTTTGCTGATGGTAGGTATCCAGACGTTTCTTCAGAGCATCTACATTGTCATCAGATCGGCGAATCAAAGGCTCTCCAGTGATCTGAATGCAAACGTTACAGGTAACAATACATGAGGAAATAGTGTCAAAAGAAATGGAAACAACTCAAAAATGTTATAAATTACATACATCATCAGTCATGGCCTTTTTAGGTGGGTGGAACTCTTCATGGTACGACCTTCCACTTGCTGGATGAATCAGACGCCCCGTAATTCGTTTTACCAAGAGACTGTCATCAATGGCAAATTCCAGCACACCATCTAGGCTTGTGTTTCGCTTTCCCAGAAGATTGTCAAGCTACCAGTAGCAAGAAAACACTTGTCAGCACCAGCTTACTTGCATGATTATTAACCTTTATTCAATACGAAGGAATGAACTATGCTTTACCTTGTTGGCTTGGGGAACAGTACGCGGAAATCCATCCAGCAGGAAACCATTCCTGCACTCAATTTTGTTCAGGTTCGTTGCTATTAAATCCACCACAAGTTCATCACTCACTAGTTTACCTGGATGAGTAAAGAACAAAACCATACATTAAAATTGAGACAAAGAAGACTCATAGAGTATCACTCGGCTAAGTAACATGCAATATCCAATATAGGGCCTAGCTAGGGTGAATTCAGGGTGTGACAGAAAAAGTGCAGGCACTGTCGTTAGCAGAGATGACAGCATTTACTTACCAGCATCCATTGTTTCCTTGAGCTTTTTACCAAGATCAGATCCAGAAGCAACTTCAGCCCGAAGCATGTCTCCAGTGGAAAGATGACATACTTTGTACTCATCCCTCATTTTAGGAGCCTGGAAAAGTAAAACAACGAACATCAGCAACTTGTACCGATTGATGTACCTACATGGTAAAAATATGGCTGTCATCAACAAAATGAAGCCAAACCACAGAAAGACTTTTAAATGAAAAATACATTGAATTGAACCGAGCGACAACACATTTCTGACAATATTCAGCTACTAACCTGAGTACCTTTCCCAGAGCCTGGAGGCCCCAGAAGAACGACATTCACACCCGCCACTCGTTTTGGGTCCCACTTGTCTAACATTGAAATTTCATCCTGTCGATGCAAGTCTTGGATCTTCTCCCACAACTTGAGTGGATATTCCAACACCATTTTGGTAAAAATTTACTAACAACACTCCACTTTAGATCAAATTCGGTGACCTCGCAGCCCCGGGCTTTGCCAACAGCCAGCGGGTAGTGGACGGTAAAGACGGAGAAGCCTATCTGAGGTCAGCAACTCGGAACTTGGTGTTCAGAATATCATCCGAAGTTATCTGCGTCCGACCTTAACCCCTGTCTGGTCCGGGAGGACGTAAAGGTTAGTTGTAAGAAGGCGTGCCCAAACCAGCTGAGCGTCATGAGAAATATATCGAAACGTTTCCCGCGAAAGTCGAAGGGGATGCCTACCTCCCCGGCGCTGAAGTGCGTTGACACGTTGACGGTGCCGAAGGCCGCTGCCTGCTGCAGCGGCGTAGGCCACCCATCAGACACTGGCATGGCGTTGCAAAGAACTGAAACAGCTAGAAAACCAAGGTCACACTGCCGGTGCTGCAAAAGGATCAATGTCAAGGAGGGAAACAAACGAATGACAAATTATTTCGCATTTTGAATCAAAATGTGACTCTGTCGGAGGAAAAATGCGGCCAGTTACTTGAACGAAAGTGCACTTTATTGCTTCCAGTGCAGGCCCTTATCTTTACAACACGACATACGTCATATACACACAAAATAATAATAACAATAATAAAGAGTAAAAATTTGCCGTCACAATTCGACTTATTCCAAACTGATTCATATTTGGGTCCGTTTGCGTCCATGCACTAATCCCCCGCTCGGCACTGTCACGCAAGGCGGCGCTCGAGCGTGAAACCGAAGCGGCGGTCCGTGGCGGCGCGGGGGAGGGAGAGAGAGAGGGGAGAGGGGTGCAAATGGAAAAGGATTTCGGCGGTGCAGATGTGTGGCTGGGCTGGCGGCGGCGGCCACTACTCCACGTAGTGTCATCGAGTCAAGTGTGTTGACGCAAGATAGCGGCCAATAATCCGGCCGATCGACGGCCTTCTTCGCACGTCCGCGCCTCGCGGCGACGAGGTGCGAATAAATAGAGCGAACCGAGCAGGCCGGTCTGAAGCACCCTTCGGCTCCGGACGGCAGGCCGGCCTAGTGCGGACCGCGGCCGCTAGGTGGCGTGGCTTCTGGCCCACTGTGCGGCCCGGCCAGCGCGCACCTGTCGGCAGAGGGCGCGACAATCGCGTCCAAAATCTGTCGCGGTCGAGCGCTTTTCTGCATCTCCGCCCCGCTCCGTCCGCCCACGCCCACGTGTCCGCGACGCAGCGCAGCACGCCACTGGCTGCACTTGATTATACTGACGGGGCTGACGGGGCCAGGCCAGGTGTGGCGGCGCCAAGTACCGGAACGACCCCCGATCACGGACCTCCCTCTCTCTCGCACGCGCTACCCGCCGCGCCACGAGTGCGAGAGAGAGCGAGAGAGGCGCTCCACGCACGCAGTCCGAGCGGCACGCGCCACGTGGTGTCCGCCAGTCCGCCGCGGCGGTGGAGCGGGGCCGCGCGCAGCCCCTCCTGGGGCGCCTGCAGCCTGCAGCATAGGCCGGCCCGTCGCACACCGCAGCGTGGAACGCGCTGCGCTGCCTACCTCGCAGGCGGGAGGCCCTGCCGGGGCCAGCCGCCCAGCCGGCCCAGCGCAGCACACAAGCCCGGCGCTTTGAATGTTGCTGTGAGACTGTGCGTCGACCCGATGATGTTTGCGAGGCTCCCGAGGGACGTCCCCCGCAGCTGCAGCGTAATGGGAGCCGCGAGGGAGGCGGCGGCACGGTGCCGGGCGTGCCGGGCCCGAGGTGACACCACGTCATCTGCGCCAATCGCCGCCAGTAGTCAGTCCGCTCCAAAACTAATACCCGCAACAGAAGGGTCGCCCCCGAAATCAAGTCAATATGTCGCGACTCCGCTTGCCACGGCCTGCCCCGCCTGCCCCCTCGGTCCACTTACCGGCCGAAAACACATTAAGGTGAAACAAAAAACATATGTAGGCCGGCTCCTGAGATTAATCGCCCTTTGACATGTGGATGGCGCCGTAATGCTCGCGAGACACGCAGGCCACGCGGGCGAGTCGAAGCCGTGACTGACCGGGGGCAGAGGGCCGCGCCAGGACTTCCCTGCCTCCCTCCACCCACCGGCGCCGAAAATTCGAAACCGAGCCGGTAAGGAGCAAGCCGGGCGCAACATGTCCATGGGACGCCGAATAACTCCTCTTTTTTTGAAAAGACGAAACAAAAAGTTGGGCGCGGAGGGCGGCGGTGTGGCAGAGAGCGCAGCTGTCGCCCGACTCGAGTTAAACGCGTAATTCCAATTGAATCCACGGACGGAAAATTGTGTAAGAGGAAGAAGGGACAGGTTGCGATTCATATCCGATTAAATCTGTCGGGCTGCTCGTTGTCTCCCCCCACCCCCACCCCTTCGCTTCGCCGGCCTCGCCCGGCCTCGCCCCGGATGACCCCCAGTGGATAAGTGAGCATGTATCCAATTCCTTCCCCCGGTGCAGTCACTGCAGTCGGCCCTCCGGTAGGGGAGACTTCGTGATCGGCCTGTGTGTGTGTGTGTGAGAGAGAGAGAGAGAGAGAGAGAGAGAGAGAGAGAGAGAGAGAGAGAGAGAGAGAGAGAGAGAGAGAGAGAGAGAGAGAGGGGATCACCGCCCATGTCTGCCTCACTCGCGATCCCTCGCAGGTGCTCGCTTATTCATACGGTTTTGATCCTTTTGCGAAAATAATAATAGCAATGATCGGCAGCGACAGCGCGGGCTAGCCGCATTATGCCTCACACCTGATTTAACCCGATCGCGGTGCCCGATGAGGCGGACTAACGCGACGCCGGTTGCCTGCGTTGCCTGCGTTGCCTACCTCCACGGCGCGACCATGCCTCCGCTCCCAAGGCGCCGCCACACCAAGACGAGTCCTAATTACTCATTAGCATAAGGCAGAGCCAGATTAATGACCTCCTCGACGGATTACAAAAGCGCGGCGGGGGTGAAAGTGAATCTTTACTTTCTCATTTCGGAAGGGTGGCGAGATGAGGCAAAGAGAAAAAGAAGGAAAAAAAAACCACCTGAGTCGAAAAATGGGCTTGCGTGAGTTTGTCATTTTGTAATTTCGAATGCTCTTTGAGGAGAGACGTGGGCTTAGTCACGAGGCGGGCCGATGGGACGTGGCCCAGAGGAGCTCTAGTTACCCGCTGGCCGGCCGGCCAATGAGTCCGAATGAGTCGAATAAGTGGAGCGACTCTCGAAAAGGCGTCGATATCGCCAAGGTGCGCCCTACTTCTCCTTATCAGAGCCAGGAAATACCGTCGGGCCGACACCGAGCCGCCAGCACCGTTACTCTTTCGCGAGGCCAACTTCAAAACGAGAACAGAAAAATGAAATTTTGTTAACGCAGCCGGAACAAAGCTCCATTGTTTGTCGTGGACTCTTGCAAACACGCTCGTCATCATCACTTTATTAGCATAAAGTCCGTTCTAAATCTTGGACAGAAAAAAAAGTACCTGAAAAAAAAAGAGAGATGAGCCTGCAGCAACGACAAACACATGCTGCTTAATTTCGTCCCGCTTCATTTCAGATAGAAATGTCATCATCTCCACTCTCCGGTTGCAAGTCGATTAATTTACTTTTTTCCCCGTCGTTCCCTCGCGGGGCCGCACCCCGGCCGCACCCTTAGGTCCTTGTTTACAACCCCCGGGGCAGGCGAGGGCAGGCAGCGCGGGGCAGCGGCGTCAGGCAGTTGCAACAGGAGCCAAAGAGTGGTCTAATTGCTCTGCGATGCCAGCACTGCCCGGCATTTGGATGACAATGGCCAGACATCCCCCACGGTGTACGTGCGCGTGTGTGCGTGTGCGCGTGTTTCTTTCTCCACGAAGTCGGACGAGGGTGAATGCCCAGGATTTATACTCTCCCTGCAGAAAATGTTGCGGCGCCGAAACTGGCGAGCCGTGATAACGGTAGAGTCCTTACAGTGCGCTCTCCCTGTTTTGTTGCCATTTTGACGGGTAGGCCGCGAAGGCGTGCGTTATCTGGGTTAACAGGGTTAACAGCGCGGCCTTGGCTTTGAAGAGAGCAGCCAGCTTTTGCTTCGGCATCTCACGACAAACTCACTGCAGGAAGACGTTTCCGAAAAAGCCGCCACTGAATCCAAAAAAGAGCCTTTCTTGCTCCACCCGCTCGGCCGGCAGAGGGCGACTAGTCCGAGTCTGCCCTCATTACAGGAAAAAGAGAACCCCTTGGCGAAACTGTGCGCCGCCGGATGCGGAGGGGGAGGGGGAGGGGAGGGGGAGCGCAACACGCACAAGTTGTCCTGTCCACCCGATTCTCTCGGTCAGTTCGGGGCAATAAATTTGTCCAGTAGGGCCCCATGGACCCTCTTGGCTCGGCCAACCCGGGGCCAACCCGGGGCCAACCCCTACACACTCCGATTCAACACGCACACCCCCACCCCTCACAGACACGCACATTCCTTGCGAATTGGTAATCGGCCGATTCGGTCCGTGTCGTTGGCACCCTCGACGTGAAGACGTCACAGCCGAAAACAACCAAAACACATTTTGGAAAGGCAGCCAGCTCCACTGTTGGAGCCAAGCAGGCCGACGACTGCGACGGTGAAACGTAATCGCGGCGTGATTGCGATTCAAACCGTGTTGCGTAACTGCTTGCGCGGACAGTGTCCGCGAACACGTGTCGCGACGCGGCCCTTGGCCAGCGGGCTGCTGTACACTCTGTCTCTCTCGCACCCCTTTGGCACGCAGACAGGGCGCCGACGGCACGGACTGGCCTGGACTCTGGCCGCGTTCGCCATAAATCTGGCCCGATATTTATGTGGGACCCTTCGGCCGGTCCGGCTAGAAGCGCCTCTGCCCCGCGGCCTTCGGCTGGACCGCGGCGTTACCCTAATTTATGCATTTATAATGGCGGCGCCTCGCAGTGCAGTAGCAGCGCTGTGATTTGTGAGGCGGCGCGCTGAGGACTCGACCGCCACAACGGCGCGCCCTTACCACTGAGGAGGCCGAAACGGAGTACGCCGCCCCGGCCGGAGTCGAACCCGCGGCCCGCGGCAGCCAGGGTCTCAAAGACACTGGCGGAAAAAAGAAACCCAGTTAAAAGAAGTAATTTGTCTCTCTTGCTAGGATGATTACGGCGTTTTCTGCCCGGGCTCACATCACGCCCCCCGGAGGAACCGGAGGAACTCGCGCTTCTTCATCTCGG